GTGGTCCGAATGGCAGCTACAATGGTATCAGCTTTTTTGGAACTGGACGGTTTTTCTTAAGTGAAACCTAGGCGCAGAGGACAGACTGGTCGTCAAAGCGCAGGTGGCTGTACTGGTTCAACAACAGCAAGTGGTACTTGTAAGGCTGGACCTCCATTCCTTGGTGTTACTCCCGCAACTTTACCCACGTCCTTTTTTGAGTAGCCGGTCATGGCACCTACAGTCTCCGGCGCTATCAAATAGAGGGAATCTTTCAAGGAATTGAGCTCAGAAGGGCAGGACAAAATGGAGGTATGTGCTCCACGCATCTGGAGTCTTTCACGCGTGGAGGCTTACGATTATGTCGGGCGATTTGCAACAAGAGGAGAGTGTCAGTGCATTGCCATTCACAATACCCTATCTTTGCGGGATTTAGCTCGGCTTTTTTATCATTTCGTCACCAACGCTCTGCTGTCGGCGGAGAGCTTTGTTGATTAAACTATTTGATATAGATATGCTTTGGCATAGTAATCCTGAAAGTATCATAATCTCTTCTATTATATAAAGCGCTAACTTTGTGTGTCGGTTTGTGTATCTGTATGTGTGTGTGTGAGTGTGTGTGTATGTATGTGTGTGTGTCCGTCCGCAAAATGAAGTGAGTGAGAAGGAAGCTCATGGGATAAACAAACCGCTAACAAATCGGGTAGCTTACAGGATTTGAGATATCAATGTTTTGTAGCAGGATAGTTGTGATAACACTCTTAGGGCTATATAAACACCTGCTTAGCACACTTCCGTTCATTCCACATGGTGCTGCAGTGGCAGCTGGAGGGCAGTGGAGAGAGGAAGGGAGGATGAGGAAGGGAAGCGAAAAATCTACCGTCATATCATGATTGTGTCCCTTCTACTGTATGAAACACCATTGTGTTGCATACGCGTCACTTCCAGGAGTGTTGAGGCGCGCACAAACTAGACGGAGTGCGCAGGTGGGAGAGGGACATAGGCGAGGATAGAAGCGTTGGCAGGAAAGGAAGTCGCGTTGTGCGGAGGTGGGAGCTAATCTAGGTGTACACATAAGTCATTTATTTTAGCGGTCCATCTGCTATCAAAAGGAGTTTTAAAAAAAAACACAGGTCAGCACATAAATCAGGTGGCAGAATAATTTGTGTGGTTTTACCAAGAATCGTCTCATTGTGTCCCAGTGTAAACGATTTGAACCAGTTTGAACGCTAAATAAATTTTCCTATTGATGTCAAGGCGTATAAGAACTCAAGTGCTACTTTCTTAACGGACCGTTGGACGAATTCGCTTGATTCCGCTACTCGCCAGTTTTTTTCTTTTTTCTCTGATTCATTTGAGAATGTCAGTCATCCGTTCTAAGTACCAAAAAATGTTCTAAGGACTATGTTATAATGCATGAAAATTTTATTAAATTGCTCCATGCTTCTTATAGATATTCAAGAGTTATAGGTCATTCAGCTGTGATGAGTCCCGTTTTGAGATGCACTACCCATTCTGCGTCCAGTAAAGGCAAGCCCATGATGAAAGTGGTGTATAAGAGCGCTTCTTAGATGACTGAGAGTGAAAGAAAAGCAATCATCGTAAAGAAGAGCACGCCGTTCGAGAGAGCACGCTGATCTCTACATCAATCGCGGTGGGTGGGAAGCGTTGCAACGGGGTCGATGGTTGCAGGCCCGTAAGGATTAGCGCCCTAACCGCGCAATTTTGCGACGAAGCTGGCTTGATCTATGTAGGTACGTACCCACAATTTCCCTCGCGGTATCCCTCCTACTAGTCAGGCTAATTCTGAGGCTTACCGGTGATGATGCAGGAAGGCGATTTGACCTTACAACGAATTGCAGAGATAGGCGAAGCTAAAGTTAGCATTTTCATCCTCACTCGTGGGTCTGGTACTACGCATGCAAGGTATTGAACTGACGAAACACGTATCCAAACATGTCCACGATTGTGACTGGGAATCGAAGGCCAAGGCTCGCTCCTTTCACTTCCTCACTCTTCTGTTTTCTTCCATCGTTCCTGATTGAATATTCTACCAAAATCGATGTCAGTCAATTCCTAATCCATCGGATCAGATTAGGGAGACCTTTAGGCCGCGTCTTACCTCTCGCAACTTCTCCTGCAATTTGTTTGCAGCTTGAGGGCACAGACTATGAAAGCGGCCTAATACTGCATGGCTTGGGTATGAGGTTAGCTGAGAAAGCTGCATGCGTATTAACTAAGGCTGGTGTCAGAGTACGCGATCCGTCGCGCGATTCGCGCGACGGGTCACAGAAGTCTCAAGTGTTCCAATCAATACTGGCAAGGTGCTCTCCAATCCTGCCGCCATTTCTGCTTGATGGTGATGGCTGAATGACGACTGTTCATGATTCTACTTGTTTCATATTCAGTGTTTCAAATGTTCAAATGGGGCACTTGCAATTTTTGCGATTCGCGCAATCACGCGAATCGCGCGACGGATCGCGGACTTTGACAGCCAGCCTAGCGGTGTAGTAGGTTAGCGTCTTCTGTGATATCGATCGATACCTAACGAATCTTTCATGCAATTTCCTGATCTCCCAGTCTATACATATGTTTTTCACTGCAGCTTAATCCCCTAATCCGAAATTATGAAATACGAACGCGGCCTTAGGGCTCCACTATTTGTTAGGCCTCCGAAAAACGGTGCTAACTTAGGTTGGGGGGGGGGGACCACGCGGCGGCGCGGCGCTCTGTTCGTCTGCTCCTCCAAGGCTTAGTCCGCCGATGGCGCGTATTTCGAAACTGCCACGTGGCGACGAAATAGTAACTGCCCCTTGGACTAAGCCTTAGAGGAGCAGACGAACAGAGCGCCGCGCCGCCGCGTGGTCCCCCCCCCCCAACCTACTTAGCACCTGAAAAACTTGGTGGAAAGTTTCAGGGCCAAATTGACGATAGGTTGCGCCGGCACCAAAAAATCGCTGTTGGGATTATCAGCTAATTTCTCCGAAATGAATTTCATCATACCCCCGCCACCGCGCAATTTGTTTTGCACTACTTACCATAGGGGGCACTGATGTCGTTGGGAGAGGGGTGGGGTGCATTCCTGGTGTATAGCACTTACTGTAGCCTTGGCATATGTCTAGGAAGTGGCAGTATTTCGGAGGTTGTGAGTCGTTTATGTTCTCCATAGCACTTCTCTCTCTTGGGCTCACTTGACGATGGCATGACGCGCATGCGCGTCAGAATTTCACCCGATTCTGGCTAGTTTTTTGGTTTATTTGGCCTTTTTCATATTTCAAAACTGTGTGCATGCGTTATCTTATCCGAAAAACTGTGAGTCAATTACCAGTAGTGGAATTATTGAAGAAGTTATGACGATTGTTCAAAAACACCGATATGTTCACAAGAAAATTAAAGAACATTGACTTACTTGCCTTATTAGGCATCAACGATTTCGAATAATATGTGTCTGTGAACTTTCCGCTTGTGGGTAAAATACTGCTCAAATGTGTTTACTTTAAGTCGATGACTCTCATTTTATAACGATTTGGTTTCTGACTAATTATTGTAGCGCACCTACGAGTGCATAGTAATAAATAAATAAATAAATAAATTGTTAACACGTTGACGACAGCCCCTTGTGCGTGTACCTCGGCACGTTTTTGTTTATTTTTTTCACAATCGTCATAACTTCTTTAGCTTCTTCAAATAATTCCACTACTGGTTCTTGATGCAGTTTCCTGGATAAGATCATGCATGCACAACAGTTTTGAAAAGTTTCAGTTTTTTTCAGTTATGAAATATGCCAACTAAATCGAAAAGACTGCCAGAATTTGGCGCAATTTTGACGCGGCGTGGCCGCGTCACGGTCCGTCAACGTGTTTTAAAAAATGAACATAAACGGCGAGTTCACGCAGAAAGGCTGTCGTCAACGTGTCGTTGTCGTTAGCCAGCGTACTAAATGCCGCGTGTTTGAATGTCTATCCCTAGTAGGCCGATCAGACTTTGCGAATCGCGCGATTCGCTAGCGTCTGCGGTCGCGTCGCGGCCAGTGAATCACTCAATTGGCTGGTACCGCAACGCGACCGCGGACGCTAGCGAATCGCGCGATTCGCAAAGTCTGACATCGGCCCTAAGGACATGAGCGCCTGGCCCTGTATCTTGGGATAGCGCCGTTTCTACTTATAAAATCAGTCTTGGCGCCGTTCTAGTAAGGCAGGAGGAGCAACGGTAGTGCATACACGGGGTTTCCTCGCCTTTGGGCATACTGACCTTCACCTCGGCTTAGAATTGTTTCTTGATGTTTATTAGAGCGCAGGCGGGAGCATCTAATTGAGACGGTTTGAAGTACCGAGTTCATATACCCCGGCACTGTTTTAGATGTCCCCCCCCTAAGTCCATGACCGCCCGTGTAGGGTTTCGAATAGCTCCGAATTGTTGTTTTTCGAATATCTTTCCCGAGAATATCATCCTATTACTGCAAATTCCTTTGAACTCTTCACCTTAGGGCAATCACACAACCTCAAGTCCTCGAAGTCGGCGATGAAGGCGTGTCAGTACCGGAACAACTCAACACTGGACGAGATTACCTGGGTTGACCTTAAACCTCACCATCAGCTCGCTATCGATTTTGAAACTCGAGCCTGTTTCGGCGGAAGTTGCGCTTCGCGCTCATTTTTGAAGGTTGACCCGGTCGGATCGGCGTTTTTTCGCTTCTTTCCTTTGTGAATTCGAGAAAGATTTTAGTTCTACCTTCGTTTTCATATTTCCTTTCTTGTTTTCTATTCCTCCAAGCTCGCATTTGTTTCAAAGCGTTCTTCAATTTTTTTCTTCCTTCAGTTCGCAGTGTAATTTGTCAGTTGTTGTCTAACTTGCGTTTTTTTCTTTCGTTTCTTTCTCCTGTTCAATGCTTCTCAGCGGTCTTTTTTTACTTCAAAGAATTCTAACTTGTTTTAAAAGAGTTAATCCGTTTTCTTCGTGAGTCTTCGTGAAAACGGCGCGCATGATTGAAATTCCTTTTGGATAAATTTTGTTTCAGCAAAATGTCAGTCCCTCCACAAGTTCAGAAGATTCTGGACGATGTCGATAAGCAGCTTCACGGTGATGGCCCAGTCAATAACGTTTTGGCGACGATTGAGCAGAAATCCGGAGTTCGAAGACTGCACATAGTCCTTAATGCCTATCGCTTCTTTTAAGTTTCAATCATTTTTCCTTGCCAAAATTCGCTAAATTGCTTTCTCTACCGTCAAACCCAAGCTATGAAACTGACGCTATAACATTTTTGACTGCAATGATAGGGTCTATTTCCTAGTATGTGTCTACCACATCGCAGGTTGTGATGGTCGCTAATGTCAGGCTTCAGTGATACTTGTGCTGTCTCTGCTATTTGAGAGCGGATTCATCTCTTTATGTGGGGAGTAATAATCGATGCTGAAACGATTCCCTATCTTCTTTCGTCCCGTCCATTCCTTTTTTGCTCAGATCCTGCAACATGCCTTGATCGAAAGAAAGCGACTGGTCGAACTGTGCTCTGACATTTGAACGTTGACCTTTTTCTGAGCTTTATGGGGCTATCCACCCATTTCGATGTTGTTGAATAGTGAGCCAAACGCCAATTTCAAGTGTGGTTACCCTTGAGTTCGATTATCTTTCCGCTGATCTGATTAGTTGTTATTGTAATAATGGCCTGTTTTCAGTCATCAGTCATGAGTTTATATGATTTGTTCTATAGCAGCTCCCTCTATTTCTAGCTCTATTTCCCTTTGAGAATTGAGATAGTAGAGCTAGTGTTGCACTGTTAAGTTCAAGGGTTGTAAACAATATAACAAGAAGTTCGGCGCATTTCAATTGACTTTTTGAATGGCTGAAGCGACTTATGGATCGTCTGGAAGGAACAGAAGCGCGCTCATAGCTGCTTTTGAGCAGTACATAGAATTGGTGATCAAATCAGGAAATGGCTCAACTTGAGAATTGAGATAGTAGAGCTAGTGTTGCACTGTTAAGTGTCATGGAAAAGTTGGAAGGGAGGAGGGAGGGTTCACTGCAAACTGATACAGAAGCTTTTATTAATATGTTGCACATTGATTTACAAAAGTAATGGCTTTTTTTCAGCGGTAGCTGCCATGCAAGGTCTTTATCTAATCTTCGGTCATTTCGCTCAGCTTGTTTGCAACTTCATGGGGTTCATCTATCCGGCTTATGTAAGGTAAGTGTTATGTTCTATCCGCTACCTTTCAATGTTTGTATTAGATCAGAGCAAAAGATGTTTTTCTTTAGTATAAAGGCAATCGAAACAGCAACGAAAGACGACGACACTCAGTGGCTTACTTATTGGTGAGTATTTGCTTTTTTCTCCTTCAGCTCATGCCCTATTCTACACCGCCCTCTAGTCATGTCAGTAAAGCGACACCACGTTCGCTTAGTCATATAATGGCGTGAAAGGTGTGCACTAAACAATGACAGTGGTTATGGAAAGGTTGCCAAATGTCGTTAGTCCGAAAAAGCATAGTAAAAACGAAAACGAGTAGCGTTCACGCGCGCCTGATACGTCAGTCTTATGATTTTGATTCTTTTGTACAAAAATGAGGCGATTTGTTTATACCCATGACTGGATTTCTGCTTAGTGATTCTCTTACTTTGTAGAAGACTTCTAGATGTCAACCCCTTCCTTTGTCTTAGTCGGCTATCTTTCCATTAGTTTTACGTAAGATATGTATAGGGGGTTATCGTTACGTTTCGCATCTGCCCTTTCTTAGCTTTATTCCTCACGACTACGCCTTGACCCCTTTCTTGTCTTCT